ACCAGCCAACAAGCTATTAATCCATCTTCCCTGAGCAGAATATAATGACTCCAACAAACTTCGGAGATGTCCAGCAAACTTTGGCGATGTCCATCTAATATTCTTCCCTGGACCTGATAGCTGAACGAGCATCTTAGATCTAGTTCAAATCCTGGAACTTCCACTTGGCTGTAAGATTGTACACAAGTCCCTTGACCTATCTGATCCTAGATTTCCTTATCTGTCAAAATAAATAAACAGAAAGAAAAAGAAAAGAAAGAAACCTTGTCACCTACCTCACAAAAGTTTGCTGTGGGAGTTAAATGAGATGATGCCAAAGGAATACTTTGAGTGTGCATAGTAGGTGCTCATTAAATGGTGATTTGGGAGGGCTGATCCATTGTTTTTCTGGCAGAGAAAATAGTCTATGCTGAGTCAAGACAGTGAAGAGTTATATTTGAGATGGAATCAATAGGGTTTAATGAATAGTTCACAGACAAGCTGAAAGAGAGAAGAACAGTGGCTTCAAGCCCCAGACTTGGAGGCCTAGATGCTGCTTGTTCGGTGGATGGATAATCAGTTGGGTACCTTTGAAGGACCAGGCACTGCTCTGAGTGCAGGGAGAGAACTCAGTGAACTAAACAGAAGAAAATGCTCTACCCTGTGGAGCTTCCTCCCGAGTGAGGGAGACAGACAATGAGAAAAACACGGAGGAGAAAGGAGACTTTTTAACAAGGGGTGCTGGGAGCCGGGTGGGGTGGCACACTCCTGTCATCCAGTGGCTTGGGAGGCTGAGGCAGGAGGATGCTGAGTTCAAAGCCAGCCTCAGCAACAGTGAGGCACTAAGCAACTCAGTGAGATCCTATCTCTAAATAAAATACAAAATATGACTGGGGATGTGGCTCAGTGGTGAGTGCCCCTGAGTTCAATCCCCGGTACCCCTCCCCCCCAAAAAAATGGTGCTGGAAAAACTGGATATCTGTATGTAGAAGACTGAAACTAGATACCTGTCTCTCACCCTGCACAAAAGTCAACTCAAGGTGTATCAAAGACCTAGGGATCAACCAGAAACACTTGCAACATAGTGAAAACATAGGGCCAACATATTGGCCCAGGAACTGACTTCCTTAACAAGAATCCTAAAGCACCAGAAATAAAACCAAGAATCAATAAGTAGGAAGACATCCCATTAAAAGTTTCTACACAGGGCTGGGGCTGGGGCTCAGCGGTAGAGCGCTTGCCTAGCACATGTGAGACCCTGGGTTCGATCCTCAGCACCTTATAAAAAATAAATAAATAAAGGTATCGTGTCCAACTACAGATAAAAAATAAATATTAAAAAAGTTTCTGCACAGCAAAGGAAACAAGAGCATGAAGAGAGAGCCTACAGAATGGGAGAAAATCTTTTGCCAGTACTCATCCAACAGGGGATTAGTATGTAGAATATATAAAGAACTCAAAAACTTAGCCCCTAAAACACAACCCATTGAATAAATGGACAAATGAACAGAACAGACGCTTCTCAAAAGAAGAAATAGAAATGGCCAACAAAGATATGAAAAAATTGTCAACATCCCTAGCAATCAAAGAAACGCAAATAAAAATTACATTGATAGTTCATCTCACCCAGTTAGAATTGCAATCATAAAGAATACAAATAATAATGAATGCTGGTGAGGACCTGGGAGGCGGGGGGAAGGTCCACTCTTACATTGTTGGTAGGATCGCAGATTAGTACAACCACTTTGGAAAGCCAGCATGGAGATTTCTCAAAAGACCAGGAATGAACCCACCATATGGCCCAGTTTTCCCACTCCTTGGTATTTATCCTAAAGAAAACTAAAATCAGCATACTATAGGGATTCGGGCACATCAGTGTTTATAGCAGTGCTATAACTAATTCACAATAGCCAAGTTATGAAATAAGCCCAGGTGCCCATCAATAAGGTGAATAGGTAAAGAAAATGTGGTGTATATACACACAGTGGAGTTTGACTTAACCCTAAGGAAGAATGAAATTATTTGCTGGTAAATGAATGAAGCTGGAGAAGATGATGCTAAGTGAAGTGAACCTGACTCAGAAGGTCAAGGGTCAAATGTTCTTTCCCCTCTGCCCATGCTAAACCAAAATAAGGGGGGAAGGTGGAGCAGGGAGTCCCGTGAAATTAGAAGAGACATCAATGGAGCAGAGGAAGGAGATGGAGGAGGAGGAAGGAGGGATGGGAAAAGAGAAGAAATATGGAAGGAAATGGACCAAATATTGCTATGTCCACATATGAATATACCACAGTGAATTTTGCCTTTAGGGATATCTATAAAGCATTAATTTTAATATATATATATATATATATATATATATATATATATATATATATAGAGAGAGAGAGAGAGAGAGAGAGAGAGAGAAAGACCAGTAGGGTAGAGCAAGGAGAACAGCAGAAGGGGGGAGGAGAGGGGGAAGAGGAAGTACCAGGGACAGAAGTGATCTAATTATATCCCATGCATGTCTGATTATGTTAGATGACCCCCAATATTATGTATAATATAGTCCACTAATAAAAACATAAAAGGAAATAATTAAAAAGTAAATGAGAATTTTTTTCTGATTGTGAGAACTGACTTAGGCCATGAACAGGGTAGGGGGGTGGAGTCTAATAGACTACTGTAGACAGAATGCCCCAGAAGGCCTCTCCTGGCAGAGAGGGGTGCACGTCCTGAACAATGAGAAGAGGTCAACAGACAGAGAGGAGGGGAAGTCTCTCGGAGGGAGGAGCAGCAGATATGAAGAACTTGGGATGGGAAAAAAATTGGTGAGAAAGTGTGTGTGTGGGGGGGGGAATTCCATGTAACTGAAGCACAGGCAAAAAAGGAAAGAATTGGCAGAAGGGGAGGTTGGAGAAGTGGTAGGACCAGGCAGCAAAGAGGGAGCCGTGACAAGCAGGTTCTTATGGAACAGGTGTGGTTTGAGGTGCTTAAGGGGATCTCTAAGCCAAGGATCCAGGACTAGAGTGGAGACAGTACAAGTACTTAAGAAATCATCCAGTTGCATCAGAATTGCCAGACACGGGAGGTGGGAGTTCCTAGAAATATGGATTTCTCAGGCATTAAAAATTACAGAATTTCCTTTTTTGAAAATTCTAATTCAAGCTAGGTCTTTCCCAAGTCCTGAAAATCATTTTTTTTTTCAACATTCCAAGTAGGTCTTGGCCCACTTGAGTTAGGCCTACAGGAATTTGTCAATATTCCCAGATCCTTCTGGACCACTTATTCAAGAACTATTTCCTGCATCCTTAATGTGGACCTGGATAATTCTTTTTTTTTAACATTTTATTTTTTATTTTTTTTTAGTTTTCGGCGGACACAACATCTTTGTTTGTATGTGTTGCTGAGGATCAAATCTGGGCCGCACGCATGCCAGGCGAGCGTGCTACCGCTTGAGCCACATCCCCAGCCCCATCAGGATAATTCTTAAATGCTCAAGATGCAACTCTGAACAGGTTAGAGAGCTTACAGTCTAGAGGAAGAAAGTGAATGAGTTAATTAAAAAAAAATCACAACTGTGATACATGCCAAAAAAAATACAACCTAGTAAGATATAGAATAATTATGGGACCGATTTATCTATGTGCTAGATAAATCCAAAGACTTCTCTTTGAGGAAGTGACATCTGAACTGACCATTGAGAAATAAGAAGGGAGAAGCCATGTGACAGTTGTCAGGAGGAACAGCATTCCTGAGAGAGGGATCAGCCAATGCTAAGGCTGAAGCTAATCTTTTGGTTTATCCCAACTTGATTAACCAACCAAAATAGGGGAGAGGGCATGACAGAGAAGGTACTCTTTCACCTTTGAGTGGTCCTCCAGAAAGCTTTGTCAARCATATACATTGTACCAGGCACTTGGTGACACAAACATGAGTAAGATGTTCCCCTCTCTCAGGGAGCTTGCCTTCCAGTTAAGGAGACAGATTACCAAATAAGTATGACCCCATGAGACAAGAGGGAACATCTCAGAAAATCAGTTCACGTTCTGCGAAAGTCAAGCAGATGATTAATACTTTTGAGTCTGATGATGTAAGCAATTGTTTTTGAGACTGTGGATGACAAATTGTGCTCATTTTTATTTTCCTGCCAACTCAGAATATCTGAATATCAGGTGGAATGTTTGCAACAGTGAATATTGGGTTTGAGATACTATAATCAACAATATTTGGGAGAAATAGCACCCTAATAATAGCTAACATTTATGAAGCACAAAAATTTGTTCGGCTTAGTACGTACCCTTTCTCAGATGAAGAATTCAGGGCCCAGTGAGGTGAAGGGACTTTCCTGATGTCATTCCTCCCCCATGTGACAATTTCCCAGCTTTGTCAGGGTTCAGAGGCTCAGTTCTGGTCACTCATGCATGACTTAGATGCTGATACAATTGCTGTCTTCACCCCAGTTTCCAAAGTGGATCCCTCTCTCTTCTCTCCATCCCAATTATGTATCTGAGTTGTCTACACCAGCTGGATTCCCCTGCATTTCTCTCCAGGGGTCCTATTGGTGAAAAAAGCGAAGAGGAGAAAAATTCTTTGTTTCCATATTTGGGAGAGAGTGGAAGGCTCTGGTACAAGCCTTGAGTGACTCCAGTCTCCTGAGCCCTCTCTGGAGTGTGGGAAGCACGGAAAGCCAGTTATCAAATGGATAGGGTGTGGCTGGTCCCCTCTAAAGTATTCAAACTCAGCTGCTTTGGGGGGGGGGGAAATGAACTGGCCATCTTTAACCTTCAGACTATGCAGTTTGAAGTGTAAAGGGACTTCTTGGCTTTCACCTGCCCTGAGTCTCCGGACCTAGTGTGAGTGGGTGCATCAGTCCAGTGGTTTCTGGGTGTGTCCAGGAGTGCAAGGTCTTCCTCTGCCTTTGCTCCATTTCTCAGGGTAACTGGCTCCTTCTCTTCTCCCTCCTTCCCTCCCTCCCTCTTCGTGGGGAGGCTCTTGGCCCAGGTCCCTGAGCCCGGGCAAGTGCAGGGGGAGGACGCAGGAAGGGTGAGATCACATCTCCCTGGAGTCCCGTGCAACCGGCTTTTCAGAGCCTCGCCATGAGCCGGCAGACAGAGCCCCACACGGCGCAGACCGTGGGCTTCTCCGTCCTCCCTGAGCAGCCGACTTTGCCCATGTCTCAATACGGCCCCAGCTCGGACTTCAAGGAGGCTTTGGACAGTAGTCCCGAGGCCAATGCAGAAGATGAAAAGACGGAGGAGGACATGCCCATGCCCAAGAACTACCTGTGGCTCACCATCGTCTCGTGTTTTTGCCCCGCGTACCCCATTAACATCGTGGCTTTGGTCTTCTCTATCATGGTGAGTGAGTGAGGGCCAGAAGCAGCCCGGAGGAGAGACCCTCTGGGCTCTTGCGCCTCTCCTGGGCGCCTCTCCTAGGCACCCCCACGTGCTAGCTCTTTGTTGCCCTCACCTCCTCCTCACTTTTCCTGGACTCTTGGGCTGTCCCCCCAACCATTGGCACCTCCTAGTGGTGCTCAAATCCCTGACCAAGCTCCCCACCCCTAGGCTAACTTTCTGCTTCTTTCCAGCGGCCCCGGTGCGCGCTCTCTCCAACCCGGGGAAGTTCCTCAACTTTGCAGCTTCTCCCAGCCTCCTCCGATATCCCTGGACACTCGCAGGCCTCCCCACCCTACTTTTCTACAGCCCCAACAGCGCGCCACCCTAGCAGGCAACCTGTCCCTTTCCTTGCCCCACCGAGGGCTCTGGCATAATCAGTGCCTGTGACGGTCTCCGACTTGCATTTACTCCTTTCCGTCTCCGCTATGAGCAGTGCACCACCTCCACCCCTCTTAGAGGGTCTCGAGGCGATCCCCTCCTTGGCTCTGGTGCAGGGCTGTGGCACAGCCCGCTGTCCCCTGGGCCACAGTTTATTTTCGCTTCGCTTCTTCTTCAGTCCAGCATCCTTTCTTTGCTCCTCTCCGGCACCGGCTTTCCACTGCTCCCTAGACTGACTCGCACCTGCTACCTCCCCAGGTCTGTCTTGGAAGCCCCCGCGCCAAACGCGTGCTGCTCTTTTACTATATATACCCCAGCACGTTGTAGTTCCTCTCCCATTTGCTGCACTCCGACTCCGCACAACCTATTTCCAGATGCCATTCCATGCTCTGTCCTGCGCCGGGGGGCGCTGTGCGAGAAGCACCCGGGACTCCACGCAGGGCGCAGCTCTGCGTGCCCTAGGCGCACCGGACTCCTGGGCTGTGAGCGCTCCTGCCGCTGGTGCCTCCAGTCCTCCCTTAAAGAGTCAGCCCTCTTCCAGCCTCGTAGAAACTCCCGCGTGAACCCCACCAGGAGGGCGACTAGGCTTGTGAGATTCTTGCCTTATTGACTGGAGCAGCTGGCCCGCGGGTGGCGGCGGGGTAAGGTTCGGACCCGCATTGTCCCGGAACAACCCTTGCAGTGGCGCTCCCTCCCCCACCGGCCCACCTCTCCCGCTGAAGGGCCCTTGAACTGCCAGCCGCGGACCTGATTCCGCTCAGTGAAAGTTGCAAGCAACCCAACCCTTCCTCTGCCCACCAGGTCGCCCCCCCCCCCCGTACACCCAATTCACCTCGCTGGCACCCACAGAGTCTCCATTTGCACCCGCAGATTGTCCGTACCCAACTCCCGGTTAGCAGGCTGCCTGCACCAACTTTCAAGTGCACAGTTTCAACTGCGTGCTTTCAAATTCCGGTTCCACCGCTTGCTAGTTGGGTTGTATCTGGGAATCGCTGCGTCTCTCTGAACCTCGGTTATCTTTGTAAAACCTGAATAATCAATCATAGCCTGGGGTGGCTGTGAGCATTCATGATATAATTGTAATGAGCATTCATGATATAATTGTAATGAGCATTCATGATATAATTGTAAAGTGCTTGGAACAGTACCTGGCATGGAATCTTTTTAAAATGGCACTTCATGAGACCTGATTCCTGTTTAAAACAACCCCCCCACCCCCCCACACACACACACCATATTCTATTCTCCCTTCCTTATCGCTTTTGGTCCAAAGCACTTCTGTCCATCTATTATTTTATTTATTAATATGGTCACTGTCTGTGTCCCCTCATTAGAATATAAGCTCTATGAGGGCAAGGTGTTGGTCTTGTTTGTGGCTGCTTCTTCCCCACCCAAAAAAAAAAAAAAAAAAAAAAACTTCTGGCACCTTCTGGTAGAGCTTACCAAATATTATGAAAGGAATGCATGCAGGAGGGAAGGGTGTTAATGGATCCTCGTGTCTACTTTGCCCTGGTTTCTTCCCAAAACTGGAGCCTGGAAGCCATCATATCAAGTTCCTTAGGACCAACCAGCCAACTTCCTTCCTTCCTTCCTCTCCCCCCAAGATCCGCCCTTGGGTTTTATGCAGAGAGGAGCTGGAAGAGATGTAGTGGCAAACTCTCTATGTGACAGCAGACTGGCAGGCGGGGTACTGGTGCCCACCCCCCATCCGGTTTATTAATGAAGCAGCCAATTTGCCCCTTTCCTGTTGCCACTTAGAAATGGGCCTAGGAAGGTTTTCCCTTCATTGGCCCCAAATGAGCTAACACAGCAGGTAGTGAGAGGTTGGATACTATTGCCACCACTTTGTGCCCTGGGGGATGACGTTGGTACACGCTTTGACTAGAAACCTCTTTTTCTAACTCCTTCCTCTCCATTCCTTCTTCACTCCCATCCCCCATCTTTTTCCATCGTTTTATTGCAAAAGATCATCTTACTGTCAGAACCCAGACCCTGGAGACAGAGGTTGATTGTGGGACACCTTCATACCTTTTGAAAATCTTGGTTCCTTCTCCTCTAGAATGGGAATGTGGACACTGTTTCATATTGAGCAAAACTGTTGTAAGAATGAAAGCGAATAAAGCTTGTCACGCCCCCAGCACTGTGCTAGGAATGTGCAATTACCGACAGACAGATGGGCAGATTTGGAATCTGGAGACATCGTATGTCACATATGAAAACAAGCAGAACATCAAACAAGCGAGAACAAACCACCCTCCCTATGTGGAAGGATTTCCCCCATTGAAACAGTACAGATCTGGGCTTGATTCCGTTCTATAAAGATTCCAGATTTATTGTTGTTGGTGGTGGTGGTATTTTTTCCTTTTATGCTAAGCTACCTCTTCAGTCATTTCTTTTTTTTTAAAAAAAAGGGTTATTTTTTAATTGCAGGTGGACACAATACCTTTATTGTATTGTTATGTGGTGCTGAGGATCAAACTCAATGCCTCACGCATGCTAGGCTATACCTCACTATACCTCTGAGCCACGACCCCAGCCTCTCCCCAGGTCTTTGTATTTATTTATTTGTTTTTTTTATTTTGAGACCAGGTGTTGTTAAGTTGCTACGGTTGACCTCGAACTTTTAATCCTCCTGCCTCCGCCTCCTGAGTTGCTGGGACGGCAGGCCTGTGCCATCATGACGGGTTAAAGTTTCTGAAATCTGAGGGACAAAGAAGAAGAGGAAGGGTGTGCAGGGGGAAGGTGACACCCATTTCTTTTGTTGTTGTTGTTGCTAACAACACAGTACCACAGACTAGGTCATTTATTTGTTAGAAAGAGAAAGGTTGTTATCGTTTAGATCAGGAATATCCTCCAATGCTTTAGTGTGCTGAAGGCTTGGTCCCCGGTGCAGGAAGGTTCAGAGGTGGGGTTTTGGAGAAGAGACCGGATCATGAGGGGCTCTGACCTCATCCCCGTATTAATCAATTAGTGGATGAATGATCTGAATGGACTCTTGGGAGGTGATGGAAATTGTAGGAGGTAGGACCCAGTTGAAGGAAGTAGGTCAGGAGAAGAAATAAGGGAGGTGTGCTGAAGGCTTGGTCCCCGGTGCAGGAAGGTTCAGAGGTGGGGTTTTGGAGAAGAGACCGGATCATGAGGGGCTCTGACCTCATCCCCGTATTAATCAATTAGTGGATGAATGATCTGAATGGACTCTTGGGAGGTGATGGAAATTGTAGGAGGTAGGACCCAGTTGAAGGAAGTAGGTCACTGAGGGTATGTCCTGGAAAAGGTAATTCTATGTCTTTCTCTCTCCATCTCTCTCTCTCTCTTTCTCTCTCTCTATTTCTTCTTCCTGCCAGCCATGAGCTGAGCCACGTTCCTCTGCCACACCCTTCTGCCATCCTGTTCTGCCTCACCTGAGGCTCAGAGCAACGTAGCCAGGCAACCAGGGACTGAGACCCCGGACGCTGTGAGCCCAAATAATTCTTTTCTCCTCTGAATCATTCTTCTCAGGTAGTTGTCACAGTGACAAAAAGCTGATTGAACACAGAGGTTTCATTTGGTCCAAGGTCAGAGGGCCACATCTAGTGATGCGCTAGCTGGCAGAGTCCTGAGGTAGCACAGGGCATCCCAGGACCAGAGACAGGCAGCACTCCAGAGACCTGGACAAAGTGGCTTGACGGCAGACCCTCCCTCTACATCACTCACTTGCTCACGAACCCAATCGTCCATTTATGACGTGAATGGATTAATCCATTCATGAGGACAGAGTCGGAATCACTTCTTAGTGGTCCCAACTGGCCCGATCGCTTAATCCCTCAGAATGAAGATTAAGTTTCAGCATGAGTTTTGGAGGGGACACACCATTTCCAGATCACAGCAGTGGTCATCCAATCCCGCTGGGTAGACACTTTCCCTAAGGTGTCTTGTGGTGTCCCGCCCTGGCTGTTTTCAAATCTCACTTATCTGTAATCCATGACAAATCTGGGTACAGCAACAGTATGGCTGGGGGTCCTGACTGGAGTGGCACCATTTCTTAGGAAGGCATTTTGGAAATGTGGGGGAGCACTTGTGATGGTGTCACTGATTTGGGACATCTGGCATTTGATGAAAAGAGCCAAAGTGCTAACACCCTGCAATGCTAGGAATTAAAGAATTGATGCACCCCAAATACCAGTGGTACCCCGATGAAGAAACACCCTAAGAGAAGACAAATTGATATAAATGTGGATGGGTGAAATACAGGAGATGGCTCAAGACAACTAGTTCCCAGAATGGTAAAAATAGCCGACAGTCCCCAAGCCATCGATACCTTAATTTATTTCTTAAACCGAGTCTGGGGAGCCTTCAGTAAGATTATGAAGTTGGAGGAGGTGGTGGACAACAAAACTTCATTGAAAAATACACCCTGGAGATGAGTGTTCTTCAAGCTGTCGGCCTCTGTGTTCTTCTGTCACCCGATGTGCAGCCATTATGCCATTATGTCGCAGCGGATCACAGATGAGTCCCCAGATGGCACATCTTGTTGTGTTGGAACGTTGGTGGCTCTAATATCACCTGCAGCAAGAACACAGAAGCCTTTGTTCATCTGTTTGTTG